CTTAAATACTCCTAAGAGTATTAATTCATAATGAAATGTTTTAATTTATAATAAAATCGTAAAAAATAATAATAAATCGTAAAAAACATTAAAAAAAATCGTAAATAAATAATAAAAAACAATTAAATATTATTTAAAATAAAAAGTTAATTTCAAAATAAAAATAATAATAATAATAATAAATAGTAAAAATACAAAAACAAATGGATACGTTTCCCACCGCCTCCCACCACTACCACCTCTGATCAGTGAAAATTCCGCCGTTCTATGTAAAAAAAATGCCATTTTTTCTGAAAATGCCAAGCAAATGACATTATTACTCTTCATCCGGTGATGGGAGCTGGTGATGCTGTCACGCCCCAGACCGCAATCCAAGCGCGTGTACAACCGCCGTATAATCAAGTGACGTCACCCGCGAGTCAACCTCACTTAATTACACAAGGCGTTCGCGAATATAATCCATCCATACGCAGTAGTAAACATACATAACAACATCACATTTAAACCAATGAATAGCGGAAATATTCAACGGTAAGTCATAAGCCACAACCGGCCAACAACATGGGCATGCAAGCCCCAAAAACAGTTTATAGTAGAACAAATATCCATGAGCATGTGTTCGGTAGTTTGAAAGAAAATAAGGAAGCACGAACCACGTCTCCCTGAAGTTGATATCACCCGTAAGAAAGTGCAGGTAGCAAGCCCTAGCTTCAACCTGAAAATGGTGGGCCCCCCGAAGGGGTCAGTACAAGTACCGAGCGAGTAGCAGGCTAAATATAGAATAACTAGCGTTTCAAGTATAAGACCCAAACATAGGGTGATACTTAAATAAATAGTCTTCCCCCCAAGTTATGAAATACTTATTAGTATATATATACTTGGAAAATATCTGATCCGTAGATTACTGTTTTATTTGGGAAAAATAGTAATAGTCAATATTTTTGACTAAAAACCCCAACCCACCCATATACCTATGAGTGTATAGGACTCCTCCTTGTCCCTATTTCAATATCATAATCTATGAGTTTTGAGGATCATAATCCTTGGGTACTCCACCGTTTTGTGAGTGTTAAGGACTCATAAGTCCTAGGGTCCTCCACCAAGTTTTGAGTGTTAAGTACTTTTAAGTACTAGGGTCCTCCACCAAGTTTGAGTGTTAAGGACTTTTAAGTCCTAGGGTCCTCCACCAAGTTTGAGTGTTAAGTACTTTTAAGTACTAGGGTCCTCCACCAAATTTTGAGTGTTAAGGACTTTTAAGTCCTAGGGTCCTCCACCAAATTTTGAGTGTTAAGTACTTTTAAGTACTAGGGTCCTCCACCAAGTTTTGAGTGTTAAGTACTTTTAAGTACTAGGGTCCTCCACCAAATTTTGAGTGTTAAGTACTTTTAAGTACTAGGGTCCTCCACCAAGTTTTCCTATGATCAACCTCCTATCAACCTAGATAGAGTCTATATCATACTTAGTCATTCATAACTAGTTCAATACATAAAACTTATGTATCACAATCCATGCAAAGCCATGCAATTATATAATTGTACAATTAACTAATATCAACCGATATTAATTAATCCATTATCCATCGGTCAACGTTGTCGTTGACCGCCATTCAAGCCTTGTACATATCAACTTAATCATCATATAATTAAGTTAATAATAATCATTTGTGCTTCTTTTACACTTCCAACAAATATGCATTTCATATTATTTCTCATATCATATTTCATGTATAAACAATGAATTCCTTTCATACAAACTTATCTATGTTGGCTAATCACATGTTTAAATATCTTTTAAACATCATTATGAACACATATAACATTTATTTAGGTAATCTTATAATTAACCCAAAAGTTATAAGATATTAAGCCTTCCACTCACCTTGAACTAGCGTTATGAAGTTCTACCCTTCTTGGTTGAACTCCGGTGAAACTCCGGCGACTTTTGGTCAACTCCGGCGATAACTCCGACGACTTTTCCAACTTTGTGAAATCACTTGAAATACCTTTCACAAGTTCCTAACAAGGTTTTATAATCATAAAACCCATATTAATACAAATAACCTCAAAACGGTTATTTTCCGGTGAACCGGTCGTTTTGGCTTCTTAGTCCGTTCTTGGACATAGAATCACTTTCCAACCCATTAGTCCATACTTATAACATGTAGAACCCTCTTAAGGATTCTTCACATGATATATATCTCATATGGTAGAAGAAAAATAGAGAGGAAGTTATAATAAGGTCATTACCTTAATTATTCACACTTTTAGCACTTTAACTTCTTTTCTTGGGATACTTTCTTGTTGAGCTCCCTTCAACAATGGAGAAAGAAGAATGAAGAGTTCCTTGCCCTTGGTTGCTGTAGCTTGTCCGAGACAATGAGGGGAGAGAGGGATGGAGATGAGCTTTTGTCTCATTAATCCAATGAGTGTAGAATGAGGGTCCACTTTAGGTACCTTTGATGCCATTTCCTTCATATCACAATCCCCTCCCCCTATTTCCTATCCCACCAGCCGGCCAACACCCCATTTGAGTGTCCAAATTCTTGGGTTGGCCCCCACTCATGTGGGAGGTCAACCCTTTTTGTCCCGAAGTGTACAATCGGTCCCGAAAGTTGTATTTTTCGGACAGTTTTAATCATATTTTATTTTATCGGGTAAAATAAAATATATTACGTGTTCTCAATCATAATGTCCTTTTGAAATAATATGTATTCCAAAATTTAAATTTAGAAGTCTCCGAAATTCATTTCTGGGTTGTTTCTGATAAATTGTCGGTACCGGTAATTGGACTTCTTTTGACCAATCGGTCAACCCCAGGCCTTCCCATGGCCCAAATAAGATGTCCACCACTATATAAATATTATTTCGATCCATAAGAATAATTTATGTGATCTCGGGAATATCGGGCGGCCCCCCGCTCCCGGTATGGGTCCCACGTGCAATTTACTATTCACGCGAAAGAAATAATAAAAATTTACAACTTCGTAAATTCATCAATCCTTTAATAAGGTTCAATACATTATTTACATAAAAGTAAATATATTTGGGGACGGTGTTACAGATGCGGGGGATGGCAGAGGCGGAGGTGTTTTTTATGTTTTTATTTTTTTAAATTTTTTTAAAAAAATTATTAAATATTTTTTTTGTTTTTCTTATTTTTTTTACATTTTTTCCCGATTTTATTATTAATTAAACATTTCTAAAGTATAAGAGTATATTTGTCTAAACATACATAAATTGTCCTACTGGGGGAATTTAAAACACAAACATATTTGTATCCATTCTTATACTCACTTTTATATCCACCATGTTTATGTAAGACTTTTTTTATCTGTGAATTTCATTCACAGACAAAATCTTGTTTGTGCAAAATTGGCATAAACAAAATAGAACATAGATAAAAATCTTTTTTTCTGTGAACCAGATTCACAGATAAAAAACTTTCACAAACATGAGTATAAAGTGTGTATAAATGTGAGCACCCATTGTTTTAAATTCTACCGCACGGATCCCAAGAGCATCTCCAATGCTAAAACGTTAACGGTGCATATGTGGCATAATAAATAACCAATTAAAAACAATAAATAGAATATATCTCTCCTTATTTGAAGGATCTTACATCATTTTGGTAAGTTTTTCTTCACAATGTCAAACATAATGTCTAGATGTAGACATTGTGGTTGACATTGCAGAGAAAAACTTACCAAAACACATAAGACCGTGGAAAGAAGGAGAGATAAATGTCATAAAATTAATATTTTGTGTCTATCTCTCTCATGTCACATGTGCACCGTCCACATCCTAGTTAGTTAAATACGGTACGGGAATTAAACGATGTTTAATACGTTCGTGTTTTATTCGGTAACATAAATGAAAAAACGGTCAAAAATTCGTTGAAAAAAGCGTTGACTTTTATAAAACGTGTAAATACGTATAAGTGTATAATATGTTATCCGTTACAAAAATTCGGACAAAAAATACGGGGTATTATTTTGAGCATTTAAATTATATACTTTATACAAAATTCTATTACTACATAAAAAAATAATCCGTAATTCTACCGGAGAGCCTCCAGACAAGGAGGCAGCGATCAACCACAACTGGTGTAAGTAAGTCCAAGACATAATTTTGCAAAATGATGTCAACAAAATAAGGCATAATAACAATAGAATGAGACCAAGTCAAAATCATTCTTTCTATTATCATCAAATAACACCCCAAGTTAAACTCATTATTTTCATCAAGATGACGGATGACATATGAGAAAAGTTGTGCGATCTCTATGCTTATTATTGTTTGTGTAAAAGTTTTGTCATGTTTAGAAAAACCTTAATTTTTGATATGCTTGTGTGAAAAACATCAGAAATCTAGTACTCCCTCCGTCCTTGAAAGAACTTTCAACTTTCCCTTTTCATCCGTCCCAAAAGAACTTCCACTTTCCTTTTTTGGTAAAGAATTAGTGGTTCACATCATTTGCTACGCATTTCTCTATCCTCTACGCAACTCTCTACCGCACAATACTCACTTTCTTAATATGTGTGTCATTTGTACTATGGAAGAACTATTAGGGTCAGAGGGAGTAGTATTTTAAGTTTCAGTCCTTTCAGATGCTAGCTTTATCCGTCATGCAATTAGTTTTAGTAATTAGTAATTAGTAATTGCATTGTAACAATACAAAAACGCGGGATCACAAAGAGGTTTTCATTTCTACTTTCAAACTATTGTTGATCTCGTATGCATTGCATGCATTCGTTCAATTGATCAATTCATGAATATGTTTTTTGTAAAATACGGGAAAAATACGTTTTATACGGAAAATATGAGTTTTTTTCCTTTTTAAACGGACCGACATTATTTTTCGTTTTAAACGTGTTTTTTTACTCAAAAACGCGTTTAAAACGGGAAAAATCTAAGTGAACGGACCGACATTGTAGCATTGAAGATGTTCTAAATTTTTTTATGACTGGCCCCTCCCTCGTTGAATTTTCCAAAACCCGTATAATCCTACCTTGCGGTTTCTGTACCGTTTGCCCATCCCCGTCTTTTCAAACTTTTTTGTGGAACAACAAATCACAAATAGGGCAAAACTGCCTCATGCTTGAAGCCCTAGCTACGCTGTACCCTGAGACACCGTGAACGCACCATTTTTCCGCCCCGATATACTCTGTCATTGAATCCTAAGCCGTTTTATATAGCCTTGAATAAATGGCGGAGGACGAGCCCAACACAAATACCGGGGAAGAGGAGGTGGAGAACCGTAGGCAGAAGCACAAGGGAAAGCACGACAAACCAAAACCGTGGGATGACCCCAGCATTGACCACTGGAAGGTTGAGAAGTTCGACCCTTCATGGAATGAAAGCGGCTTGCTTGAAGTAAGCTCATTCTCGACTCTATTCCCTCAGTACAGAGGTGAGTGCTTTCACAATCTTCCCAGTGCGTATGTTTTATGTACCTTGACATCAAAATATGTGTTGAATACAGTAGAAAATTAGGTCAATGTCATAAAATATGGATATGTTTCCAGAATACGGAAATGTACTGGTTTCATATCCACCCATTACCCAGTCAATTCAAAGTAAAGATTTTTCTCATCCTTCGTTAAATCCCCTCTGAGAAATTCAAACTTCAAACTTCACTTGGTTTTATACAGAAAAGTACTTGCAAGAATGCTGGCCAGTTGTCAGAGGTGCACTCAAAGAGTATGGTATATCATGTGAGCTTAATTTGGTGAGTTTCACTCGTCCTTATTGGTGTAAGGTTACTGCTAACAGCCTAACATTATGGAATTAAGTCCCATTGGTTCTGAAACTGCTTGGAGTTCTTTTTGCACCTTTGCTCTTCTAGTGCTATGCTATGGCCGAATTTGTATGCTCTTCCCCACTTCATTTAAGGATATAACCCATATGCCAGTAGCAGCAGCATATGCCATTTTGGAATATTTTTCGTCATCAGCTATTGTTGGAACTGTATTTTCTCGTTGTTGCATTTATGTGGTCTTGTGAAATCTTTTGTCTGAAAAATTCATATCATTTACCAGACACTGAAATTTTTCATTTTTTAGCACTGCTTCTTTCCTGAGAACTCCAAGTGATCATAGTGTTTACGAAAAGTGTTTAAAAAAATCATTTTGCCCTTTTAGTAACAGGTTGAGCTATATATGGGGTGGTTATGTAGTCTATGCTTTTGGTGGTCAGGTTGAAGGATCCATGACAGTTTCTACAACTATGAAAACAAGGGATCCATATATTATAGTGAAAGCTCGAGATCTTATTAAACTTTTGTCAAGAAGTGTTCCCGCACCCCAGGTTTGCTTTGTGACTATGAATGTTTTTACTTGGACTGTTTTCGGCCCCAGACCAGACTTTCGTAGTTATAAATACACAAAGACCAGACATTTACCAGACCAGACCAGCAAATTTCAATCCAAGTAAAAACATCCTATATCTTTATGGCCTCTCCTCATTATTCTGTTACTTAGAGCAACTTAGCTGAAGTATATATGGATGATATTCCTGTGGATTTTTGTGTGGTTTTGTGTCTTCACTTTAGAGAGCCTTTTCCAGATCCAACATATGTTAAATAACAATTACCTTTTTTTCTAGGCAATTAAAATTTTGAATGATGAGATGCAATGTGACATAATCAAGATCGGAAACTTGATCCGCAACAAGGTACATATTGTTGAACTGTTTCAAAGTAGACTGCCATTTTATGATTTTTTGTAGGGTCCATTGTTCCTTGGGTGTCTTCAGTTGTGACTTTTTTAGTCAATAATGCCAATGAAATTTCGCTCATGGCATGCTTTTAATCTTTTTGCAGGAACGGTTTGTTAAGCGGAGGCAACATCTTTTGGGTGCCAATTCTTCTACGTTGAAGGTTCGTTACTTAATATCAAAAGTAGTTTCACCAAGAAAAACAACTGTTTGCATGGAGCAACCTATACTTTTCATAATTTTTGACATAAAGAACTATTGGTATATTTGTCATCATAAATTTTGCCAAAAGTATCACATACTTTCATATATTTTAAATGTGACGTTCTGGTATTCGGAAATAAGGTATATCTTGATGCAACGTAGTTTAGATTTGCCCAATATCAATTTGGATTTATGTGGAGTCACCATTTAAATTGTTCATCCACCCATGCAATATTGAGATCAATTGGCACAAGCTTTATTATTGGGAAAAAGCCCATGTGCTTGATTTGTGAATGAAAAATAGGTAAATGGAAAGGAAACTGTGATACAAATTTGAAGTGGAACACCGGTATAATGTCGGATTACTTGTGGTCATGGCATCATTCTCAATCCTATTCATTATTCATGGTCCCATTTTGGAAGTGAATGAATTGTTATTGTCCTAACTCCTAATGACTATTGAAGGCTCTTGTCTAGATATGATGCAAGTATATTGAACTTTTTGGGTTAGTCATGGCACAAAGTTTGTTAGTTCCCGACAAAGGTAGTTACCTGATGAAGCTCAGTGCTCAGGCTCTGTTTGGCAGACAGTTTTGGACAATAATGCTTATCTGCAGAATTAGCAACTTTGACTTTTCCTTCCAAAAAATTCAGCATATTCAGTTCCAGACTTCCAATGATAGCCATTTAAGTCAAATAGTCCTAGCCAAACATGCCCTAATTTACTCTTTTTTAATGAAGTTGCCGGCCTAAATAGTACTTTTATTTTTCATTTCCTTGAATCAGCTGACATGAACTCTTCATTTACTAAAGCTCAAAAGTACATTTTAATTTTAATTTTAATAAAGATCAAAAGTTTTTGTTTAATGCAGGCCTTGGAAATTGTGACAGGATGCTATATTCTTGTCCAGGTTTGCTTCTATGTTGGTTGATGTGCAAAGTTTTTTCAAAATGGGGTGCAAAGTCCAATATCACCCAAAAATTGGGGTGCAAAGTCAAATTCCCCCTTATTTTTTTGGCTTTTAGAATTGCATTCCTTTTGTTGCTAAGTGATGAATCTCTCTTTTTTTACTGCATTGTAGTGTGATGATAACTCTTTGTGCTGGTAACATGAACAGGGAAACACTGTTGCTGCAATGGGTTCATTTAAGGGGTTAAAACAAGTGCGGAGGATTGTAGAGGACTGCATACATAACAAAATGCATCCATTGTTCCATATTAAGGTTGAACCTCCAAGTATATACTGTGTCGGTGTTGATATTTTTCTTGGATTTTTTTTCATGCTTGGTTATCAATGATTTACTGTAGCTACTTCCATATTAGAGTGCTGCATCAAATTTTAGTACTACGTTTGGGAATTTTCCATAGTAGCATAGGAGAAGAAGACAAAAATAATAAATTTTTCCTTACTACTGTAGCTTGTGTTTGGGTTGAGGTAACATATTGAAGAAGTGAAAGTAATTTGTTTTATTTATGTTGTTGATTTTGTAGGCATATGAAGTTGAAATATTATAGATATTATAAATTTACTATTTTAACCTTCATAACATTTATACAATGAAATTCAAGTATTTTGAAAGTAAGACAAAATTCAAGTATGTCAGGGAATAATGAATTTTTACTTCCATTGTGGAGAGAAGAAGAGGTTGGGAAATAGGTTTAATTTCCCTATCCATCTATATTTTTCCTTTACAGCAAGGTAAAATTCTTACTCTCCACATTTTTCCTTATTTACTTAATTCCCAAGCATAGTGCAAAAGAAGAACCTCATTTGTAGAGCTAAATAAAAGATGTCAACACCGTCCATTTAAAACAGACCCAAAGTTATGGATTTCAAGATCCAGCCCGACCAAAGAATTATTTAAAGATGCTCTTTTATTTTCCATTCACTCCATTACAGATCCTCATGATGAAGAGAGAACTGGCCAAAGATCCATCACTGGCAAATGAAAATTGGGACAGGTTTCTTCCAAAGTTCAAGAAGTATGGGATTTGTGATCTACATAGTTTTCTGTATAATAATGGATATGAACTGTCTTTTCAATCATCTATTGATATCTTTTTTCTGTTGTCATTTTCAGGAAGAACGTTAAACAAAAGAAAACTAAGACTAAAGAGAAGAAATCTTATACACCATTCCCTCCACCACAGCCACCTAGTAAGGTGAGATTGTATGTCTATTTTGAATGTCTATGGAATCAGCTACCTATAGACCCACCCACTGTCGTCTGTGTGCTTGTTCCACTGTTCAACATCCAGATCCCAGCACAAATGCAAAGGGAAGCAATTTTGCATTGTTTGGTTTTACCTAAGGAAATGCCGAGGAAAATGGATTTTGATTTAACTTTTTAGAATTTGTACATATACTTATATTCGTTAGTGTTTATATAATAGAGATAAATAAATAAAACGAGTCTAAATTAAGTTTACCAAGTGACTATGTATTTTATGTTTTTACGCAAAGTATGTTTCCTTTTAGTTTTCCACCATATTTTCCTCCCTACTTTTCCCCCTAGTTATTATCTGTGTTCCAAATAAACGTTAACAGAGTAACAGGTTTATTTTGCTTCTATGTGCTCTTATGTTCTGTACCATATATCAATTTTCGTGGATTCAGGTTGATTTACAAATAGAAAGCGGTGAGTACTTCCTGAGTGAAGACAAGAAATCTTCAAAGAAATGGAGAGAAAGGCAGGAGAAGCAAGCTGAAAAGATTTCTGAAAATAAGAGAAAACGGGATGCATCTTTTATACCGCCTGAGGTTTTGATTTTCCTGTGAAATGTTTGACATCTCATTTCATTGTGTATACACCAGTCGCTTCATTGGCTCCCTCTTTATATATTTCTGCAGGAACCAACGAAACAGGATGCTGCTCATGTTACTAGTAATGATGATAATGATGTGACTGCAATAACCGTGTCTGTGAAGGTATCTATGCAGTTGTTTCCTAGATTTTTATGCAACACATGGAAGATGACCAAATACTTGGCACTTGTCTCCTGTTTCCGATAAAGATTATGTGCCAAATGTGGGATCTATAAGTTGAAAATGTAATGTAATAAACAAATGGGACCTTATGAGCCAGTTTCTTTTTTATGGTCTTTAATCCCTCACAAATATATATGGCTGGATTGCAGAAAAAGGCAAAGGAGTTTGCACAGCAAAGATCAATGGAGAAGATTGATGCAGAACAGTTTATTGCAGTTCCTGCAGGGAAGTCTAAAAAGAAGTCTAAGAGCACTTAGCGTCAATTTGTGGATTATAGCGCAGTTGTTTATTAAATCCAATAGCACTTAGCATCCCTGATACTTTGTTGCTACTTCAGTTGTAATGGGTGTTAATCATCTGCATCTTTACATCTGGATCTTATAATACATAATGCGGTCCTTAAAAAGAGCATGAGTGATATTTGTCTTAAACCATTTCTACATAGAATTGTTGAAAATAAACTGAATACAGAAATACATAATGTACCATATACCATAGTTATTATGGGTTGCCTAGTCATCCCGAAGATGGCAGAGATGCGCTAGGCTGAGTTAACTTGCCTGAAGTCTCCTAGGCGTTCAGTTGCTGTCATGATGCCAGATTTGGATTTTTAATCCCCATTACCCCATGCAGTTATGCTGTGTTAGAACAGAACCCTACACGGCTACACCCCTCTGGCCTCTACCATTCAAGTGGCTGTAGTTGGAATGGACTAGGTCCGGCCCGGAATTGGGTCTGGTACTGTGTGGGACAGGACTGGGTACCTGACCGGCTGACCGGGTAGTCTGTGGTATGTATTTTTGGGACCGGACCGAGTGGTTCTGGCAAAACGGCTACTTCATTTTTTTAAATTAAAGGGGTCGGGGGCATATAGCTGTTAGTAACAACTATAACATTGCTATATAGCTGTTAGGGGGGGCTAAAAATTTCTACAAATATCTAACCTTTTTCCTAGTCATGGACCCGGTTCGGGCCGCCCGGCCCGCTACTGTGCGGGACCGGAACCGGCCTGGTTCTCGGGTCCGGGTCGGGCCTAGGCCCGGTGGGGGGGCGGGTCCGGGCTCAGGCCTTGTATTTGGCGGACCGGTCGGGCCCGGGTCCGGGCCTAATTGAATTTTTTTTTCTTCATTTTTTGGGATACACCCGGGTTGGGCTTGATGGTTAGGAGGGGTTTGGGTGGCTACCCGGACCGGACCCGTGGCTACCCGGAACCAGCCCGGCCCAGGTCCATGACTACTTTTTCCCATTATTTTCCTACCCCTCTCTCCTACTACTCAATCTCTTTATTCTAACTCTATAATCCTATATTCTTACTCCTACATTGGGATGGACCTGCTAGCGGTTCGGGACCGCCACTGTGCCGGCCCGGATCGCGACCGGAAAATCAGCTCCGGTATGGAATTGTGTACCCAATTGGGTTTCCGACAGGCCCGGTCTCGGGCGTGAGAAATGGGGACCGGACAAAATAATCCTTATATGAAATTTAGAAGGAATCTTAGCCATTAAAATGAAAAAATATGTGGATCATATCAATTTTTAAGGAAAAAATGTGCATGACTATGGAGAAAAAGTGCATCTAACTAACACAAAAGTGCATCACGCTTCGAAATAAAATAAGAAATATAAAATTCTATTTGTAACTTTTTTAGAGTAAATGTGCATCTTTACAAATTATATATGCACTTTTATTATTAAGTATTGGAAATTTTGGTTTACTATTTCCCAATGCGATTTTTTATCTATTCCATCCATTTTTGAGTGATCTAGGGCTTAGAGCACTTCTCACTTTTCATGTGAAGAATCTTGTGTATTAGAACCCACCCCCACACACTCACACACTAACACTACATTTTAAGAGGAAAACATACTTCAAAAAAATGGGACTGGACCGGATCCGACCGGTTGACTAAAACCGGACAGAACGGTTTATATAAGTCCCGATCCCGGGCACCTATACAGTTTTCGTAGCCGTTCTGAGGACCGGAACCTGACCAAGCCTAGTCAGTACTAACTACCAAGCACAGTGAACATCATACCAACCTAGTTAAGGCGGTAAGCCCATTGAAATGATGACCATTCAAAGGTTTGGCATGCTATATGTGTCTATCACCTCTATGGCTCTATATGTATATATTCTGTAAAGAATCCAAAGATAGCATTCACAGATGGTGTTTTCCTGTATGTATTTATAGCCTAGCCAAAATTATCAGACATTATAAACCATTCCGACCTCCAAAGTGGAAGCATGAGGTACACTCAGCACATAACCCGGTGGTCTACTATTCCTTCTTAAGAACTCATAACCAAAATTTATAACCATCTTTTTGAAAAAGCTCGATCCACGTTTTGCCTGCATATAAGAATGTCCAAGAATGTACGCCATCCCAGCCTCCCTAGCTTCCATTAGTTCCTGCAGTTCCGCTCGTGCCTCCTGGTCGATATTCGGAGACTCCGGCACAACAAACCGCACCCTCTTTCTCCTTTTGAGTATCACGGGCGACTTTATCGCTTCTTCTCTGATCTCTGATGTCTCCCCCCTTCCACCCTCACCCCTCTCTTCTTCGCAAACATGGACCCCCCCGTCAAGGTAAGTTGAAGGGGTCCCCACGACCGCCATTCTCATCGAATCTTCAACTTCTCCATTTCCTCCAGCACGAATGAACTCTGCTATGCTGCACAAAAGATCGTTCTCGAAATCTGAATCGTCCTTGTGTGCATCCCTGTATCCATACCGGACAATGCAACGGTATATTCGGTACTCCCGTGGGCCGATGCGCCCAACGAGGAAACGCTCCTTGTGTTTGACGTGAGGAATCGGGACAGACTTTACGCAAAGGAAAACCAAGACCTGGTGAAATGCTGGGAGGTTGGTGACAAAATGGGAGAATATTGCTGGGATTCCAGAAACTAAGTCGGTGTGGATTAGGCCGATGCCCTTAACACGCACTATCCCGAGGGTGGGACCTAGGCCGAGTAGCCAATCAACGGATACCTTGTTTTGAACGTCAAACTCATACTTCTTGAGCAACCCATAGTGCCAAGCACACATGACCATCATGAAGATGAAAGCCAGTGCAATGGGAACCCACGCTCCTTCCAAGAATTTGATAAGAGAAGCAGAGAAGTACAAGGCTTCGATGCTCCCGAAGAAGAGTACAAAGGCAATAGCTAGGATGAAACTCTTGTGCCAACACAGAACGATCACCAGCGACATCAAACAAGTTGTGACCAGCATAACTGTTATAACTGCCAGACCTGATGTGATCATCAAAACAAAAGGGCATCATAACTGTTATAAATGTTATATTCATGACGATTGAGTAATTAAAATGAACTAGAATCAATATAAAACAGATATTTAGTGATTGTGTTGTGTTTTTTTCTCAGATATATATGACTTATGACTTGGTTCACTGCTTAACAAAGTGAGTACAATTTGCATTTATATAGTTCATGAACTCCTCCATCATTTTCAATGGAGCCAAAGACTCACTATTTTTTGCCTTGAGAATATGATGGAATAAAGCAAAATGGCTCACTACACAGTCTGCACTTCTTTGTTATGAAGCAACAATCAGTCCATGCAATTTTCGAAGCGATTTTCATCATGGGTCATCCGAAAACAGTCTCTTTGTGCTTTGGTACAAGGGTAAGACTACGTACATCCGACCCCCCCCTAACCCCATCGTAGGTGGGGAGCCTTTGCGGCACTGGGGTAATGTTGTTGTTATTGCATAGTTCATGAACTGCAAGTGGTCTTCATTTATGTGTCTTATTTCGGACTACAAGAGCTTAAGTCAAACACTCCATGCTAATATATAAATTGGTACTGATAATTATAATTTACAGTACATATTTAGAAACTAAACTTATGTTGAAGCGCAAAATTCAAATTCGAATATGATAAACATGTGATCCATAAAAACAGAGATTGAAAGCTCATTTGACAACACGATTAGTGAACATGATCAACAGAATGGGACAAAAGGACAAATAAATGGGTGTACCCGATGCATTGCCTAGGCGCTTGGTGTCTCTGAAACCAAGAGTAACAGCCAAACATAAAAGCAGTAAAGTCCAATTGATCTCTGGAATGTAAATCTGGCCGTGTATCTTCGATGAAGTGTGTACTATTTTGACTCCTGGAAAGCATCCCAGAGAGGAGCACTGTTTGATGATTGAAAACGTTCCCGTGATTATAGATTGGCTACCCACTACAGCTGCCAGTATAGCTATTACCAGAACCGGCCATCTAAGCTTCTCTGGTAGAAGGGTTTTAATTAATTAATAATTTTACAGAACATGTCTTAGCATGTGTCTTCCGAAATTAATAGACATTTATCTATTCAAGTAATACATACCAGGGACCGACACATAAAAGCCAATATGATAGTTACTATCAATAACATGATGCTGTGACATATAAGCAGCTTGCCCCATATAAGCAAGGATTAATGATGGGTAAACCAGGCATGTGAAAGCAATCTGCAAAAGTAGGCAGAAAAGGGTGGAGTTTCACTGTGAATACTATATAGTAAACCAAATTGCCAAATTTAACCCAGTGGAAAACCTGTAATGATGTGATTCTGTAATTTTTATATCAACTGAAATACTGTCAAAAAAAATATGCACGTACTTCTCATTAAAAACTACAACAGAGATATTGGATCATAAAAGAGAAGCAAGGGTCAATAAGAAGGTTGCAGAGTGGAAATTCAAATGTGTTTACCATTTTGATAAAAAAATAAATATTTAGCCTTAACAGTCAGTCTTGATGCTCCTTTGGCTATCCGCTATGCATAATAACTCAAACTATTTTTTTGGATGCAATAACTCAAACTCTATAGTTCTGCTAAGTGAACCAAATCTCAATATCATTGTCTCATGTACCATTACTTTTTTAATACTACCTCCATCCCAAATAAAATAAACTTGCTTGAGCAGTGCAAAACTTTTACATTTTGGTAAGGTACAACAACTGTAATAAATCTTGAATCATACTTGTATTTTTTAAAAATTCAAATTTATTTGTTGGTTTAACTGAATTTGTGATATGTAGCTTGTGTGTGACTCTCTTTAGATGACTTTGGCAAATTAAAAGAAATTTACTTCATTTATTCGCAATTAATTAGCTCCTGCTAGCTTCCCTCGAGTTACAGTTCAGAGCAACCAAAGTTAAAATGAAGCAATGAATAAAACAAACTATGTAGAGGAAACTTATACAAAAAAAACTCCATATAGGGAGTCCATCCGAGTCAATATCGTAAATATATACCTGTATCGATAATTGGGAGAAGTGCCCAAGATCAGCAAACATGGCTTCTGAACCTGAAAGAAATGGAGTGAATCATCAATATTTTAATAACATGGTTTTTGAGAATAGGCTTCAATAAAGTATATGGCTTCTTTCTGGTATGAAAAAACAAGTTATCAAGTGTATGCACTAGCCTGTGATGCATAAGAGAATTCCACCCAAGGACATCCAGCCTCCCCTTTGAGTTTTCTTCAGGAATTTGTACATATAATGTGGAGACAATGCTTGATACACTCGAGGGTTCCAATGAATTATATTATATAGACCAATTGAGCTTATACAGAGAAGCCATGTTATGACCACAGGTGCAAACAGAAACCCAACCCTGTGTGTTCCATAGTGTTGAAGAGAAAACAAGGCTATCAGAATGGTACAAGCAACTGGAACACCTATATCTGCAAAATATGAAATAAAATGTTATCATCTTAATAATATTTATGGTGTCAATTAGTTTTCTAACATTAATTAACACTAAGTAAAGAAGTTTTCTGCTGGACGGCCTTCCGCTAGAAGCCTTTTTTCTTACGGAGGAATAATGAGATCAAATTTCAAAATCACCCACATGCTATGTTTTTTTTTTTCACTTGAGTGGATAAAATACCATTAAAAAAAATTGACAACTTTTTGCTAAAAGTTAGATAGAGACTTGTAATCTAACTCTAATATATGTCAACGCTTAGATAACTAGTGGGAACCTACTTGGCAATTTCAAGGAATTAAATTCAACAGAGAACAACTATTCTTGACTTGTAGCCCACACCTAGTAAAACACACTGACAATGAATATTTTTCAAAGGTTAGCTTTATCTAGAACATGAGTAGGATTTACATTTGTTATGCTCTTTAGAGATCGCAAGCTCCAGACCTGAAACTGCAGAAAAAACTGCAAAAAAAACAAGGTGCATAGGTTAACTAATGATGATAATAAAAAAATTGTCAATGTTTTTAATTGCAAGTAATAAGCTCATACCAGATATGGCAGGTGAAAGAATACCATCACCTATGACCATACAAGCTCCAAGTAAAGCCAATACAAGCAGAACTCTCTGCAATACCCTATTCCTCTCCAAAGAAGATTTTAGCCCTTTCCCAACAGTAGTGTGGGGTGGAGCAGTTCTATCATTCTTGTAAAATGACAGTTCATCATCTGCTAACTGACAAGTTGGCAATGAGCTAACCCTGGCATGTCTACAGAGGAGAGAATACAAAGCAAACGTCCCCCCTTCCCCATTGTCATCAGCATTAAGAACTATGAACACATATTTCAGAAGAGGGACCAAAGTCAATGTCCAGAACACAAAGGACAGAACCCCATAAATTTCTTCATTGGTTTCTGAATGCTCAATATCCTCTGCGAAAGTACTCTTGTAGACATACAATGGGGATGTACTTAAATCCCCATACACAACACCCAGACTCTGATATGCCAATGTCAAAATTGTCCTCCAGGATTGACTCTGAAACCCCAAAAAATCGAAACCGCAGCATGAATAGATACTCCAAACAAGAAGAGGAGGGGTGGACTCGAATTTTAATTCTTGACCAAATAAAGGGGCCTAACCTTTGAATGATTTTGACGAAACCCAGTCTCCAGATCCATCAAATCTTCTCAAAACTGCAAGAAAACCATTTCTGCCAGGAGGAAAATTTTCATCAACTTCAAAGCTAACCCACGCTTTGGACACTGCCTTCCCCGGTAAAGAACTCCCAACAGAGTAGACTGACGCAAAACGCAACGCCAATCAGAAAAGAAATTTTATATGATTGTCCTACTCAGAAAATAACAGCAGTTGAACAACCGCCTATCAGGAAAAGGTGAAAAACAAACACCAAACGCAACAGATTTTGCTGTTAAAAAAACTGAAAGAGAAGTTGTTTAGCTGGAGAATTAGAGCGCAAGATTAAAAAGAACATTTTTTCTCTATAACAGTGAAAGAAAGGCTTCACCATTTTTACTGCTTAGAAACAAAAATAAGCAATTCGAAGTAATTTTTTGTTCTTGATTTTTCGGATATGTAGACAAGTGAGATACGTTTGTGTTCTTTATAGCCTATATGTATGCTTCCACGTTTCGCTTTCAAAGCGTATTTATGAATTCATGGGTAAAATCTCTTTGAGTTTGAGTTGTTTTTCGTCCCCTGTATCATGCATTAACTTCTTTTTAATCTATTTATAACTCTATTTCCATGTCATTTAGAAAAAACGTTATTATTGACCAATAAATATATTAGACATTTGAATTACAATTTTATAAAATTTAGGCTAATATGAGAATTAAAATAATGTAAAATTAAATATTCACATTTTTGGAGTAAGACTTAACAAGCTTCTCAAACATAAAATTACATATTTTTTGAATGACAAACAAAGAATGAGGAAAAATCGTCAAGTATCTTGTGATCTGATGACATGAGTGTGGTACTTTTAAAGAAGAGGTCACAAGTTCGAATTCATTGTAATTTAAAGGATGTTGACCTTAACATTAAACAAATATCATAATAGATTGGGAAGCTTTGTAAAAAAAAACTAAAAAAAAACACAATGAGGAGAAAGCTTTTAATTAGGGTTATTTGATTGTTAAACGGAGGTTGTTATGATCAATGAGAGACTAAAAACAAAAAACATAAATTGCAAGGATGAAAAGCAAAATAAATTTCTCAAGGACATAAAACAAAATGTACTACGTAATATATTTACAGGGACTAAAAACACATTTAAACCTTACGAAAATGAGGTAAAAATTATTTATTTTACGAGTTTTTTTCTAAAATATTACTCCGTACTAAAATGGCTTAGATATGTGTTCACTCCCTACAAATATGACATGTTTTGTTTTAGATCCCTACAATTTTTTATTTATTTTTATCTCTGTAATATGCACCATTTTCTTTTAGTCCATCTATAATTATGGGACCACCACATTTAGAGAAAAAAAATATTGTTGGTTGAATAAATCTACCAGAACATTTAAATTTATCTATTTATAATTTTTTTGAGGATAATATGAGAGTTAAAATAATGTATAACTAATTATTCACATTAGTTATCTATTTATAATTTTTTTGAGGATAATATGACAGTTAAAATAATGTATAACTAATTATTCACATTTTTAAAACATGTTTTAACAAATTTCTCAAATATTATTACGTTTTTGCCATCATATTACATTCATGCGGCCAATGGAGGCCCCCACACGTACTACAAGAAGGACTAATAGGTCAGGAGCCCACTATGTTCACGCTAGGCACCGAGTGAGCAATTTCTACCTTCTTCCTTGGATCATCCACGCTGGTCATAAGCTTTTGCATTATGCTTTTCGAGGTATCTACCCGTGCAGAAAGGACAGAATTATCACCGATCTCATAAAGGCCTGAAGCTATTTGTTGAGGAGGACTCCGTGAACTGTACCATGAAGCATTATTGGCAACTATTTTCTCCACCAGTGCTTCGGCATCATCTGTAACACCGTCCCCAAATATATTTACTTTCATGTAAATAATGTATTGAACCTTATTAAAGGATTAATGAATTTACGAGGTTGTAAATTTTTATTATTTCTTTCGCGTGAATAGTAAATTGCACGTGGGACCCACACCGGGAGCGGGGGCCGCCCGACACTCCCGAGACCACATATTTTATTCATCTTAGTCAAGATAATATTTATATAGTGGTGAATATTTTATTTGGGTCGTGGAAAGGCGCAGAGCTGACCGATTGGGTAAACGAGGCCCAATTACCGGTACCGACAATTTAACAGATAGCAGCCCAGAAATGAATTGCGGAGACTTCCAAATTAAAGTTTTGGAATATATATTATCTCAAAGGGGAATTATGATCGAGAACACATAATATATTTTATTTTGCCCGATAAAATAAAATATGATTAAAACAGTCCGAAAAATACAACTTTCGGGACCGATTGTACACACCGGGACACAAAGGGATGACCTCCCACATGAGTGGGGGCCACCCCACGTTTTTGTGTGCTCAAATTGACCAAAGGAAGGCCAATGGTACACATGATGGGAGGGTGAGACATTGAGAGACACCAAAGGGGTCCCTCTCTCACTTATTAGCTAAATGAGACAAAAGGAACCCATCCCCCTCCTTCCTCCTCATTTTGCTCGACCAAACCATCAAAGAGGGGAGAGAGAAAGCTCTCAAAACCACCTCCATTGTTGCAGCACGAGCTCAAGGAGAAAGGGGTCCAAAAGAGAGGATTTAAGAAGGAAAAAGTGAGAAAAAGCTTGGATAATTAAGGTAATGACCTTATATTAACTTTTCCTTTACTTTTCCTCTACCATATGAAGTATATATCATATGAAGGACCTTTAGTATGGTTCCACATGTTATGAGTATGGATTTATGGGGTGGAAGATGGTTCTAAGTCCAAGAACGGACTTAGAAGCCCAAAACGACCGGTTCACCGGAAAATAGCCTTTTAGAGGTTATTTGTATTAATATGGGTTTTATGATTATAAAACCTTGTTAGGAACTTGTGAAAGGTATTTCAAGTGATTTCACAAAGTTGGAAAAGTCGCCGGAGTTGTCGCCGGAGTTGACCGAAAGTCGCCGGAGTTTCACCGGAGTTCAACCAAGAGGGGTAGAACTTCATAAAGCTAGTTCAAGGTGAGTGGACGGCTTAATATCTTATAACTTTTGGGTTAATTATGAGATTACCTAAATAAATGTTATATGAGTTCATAATGATGTTTAAAAGATATTTAAACATGTGATTAGCCAATAGGGTTAAGTTTGTATGAAAGAAATTAATTGTTGATGCATGGAATATGATATGAAGAATTATATGAAATGCGTATTTGCTTGAAGTGTATTAGAAGCACAAATGAATATTATTAACTTAATTATATGATGATTAAGTTGATACACACAAGGCATGAAATGGCGGTCAACGAAAACGTGGACCGAAGAACAAAGGATTTAATTAATACCGGTTGGTATTAATTAAATATAAATCTATATAAATGCATGGTTTTGCATGGATTGTGATACATAAGAATTTATGTATTGGATTAGTTATGAGTAACTAAGTATGATATAGACTCTATCTAGGTTGATAGGAGGTTGATAATAGGAAAACTTGGTGGAGGACCCTAGTACTTAAAAAGTACTTAACACTCAAACTTGGTGGAGGACCCTAGTACTTAAAAAGTACTTAACACTCAAAACTTGGTGGAGGACCCTAGTACTTAAAAAGTACTTAACACTCAAAACTTGGTGGAGGACCCTAGTACTTAAAAAGTACTTAACACTCAAAACTTGGTGGAGGACCCTAGTACTTAAAAAGTACTTAACACTCAAACTTGGTGGAGGACCCTAGTACTTAAAAGTACTTAACACTCAAAACTTGGTGGAGGACCCTAGGACTTATGAGGCCTTAACACTCACAAACCGGTGGAGTATCCAAGGATTATGATCCTAAAACTCATAGATTATGATATACAAATAGGGACAAGGAGGAATCCTATACACTCATAGGTATATGGGTGGGTTGGGGTTTTTAGTCAAGAATATTGACTATTACTATTTTTCCCAAATAAAATGGTGATCTACGGATCGGATATTTTCCAAGTATATATGTATATACTAATAAGTATTTCATAACTTGGGGGAAAGACTATTTATTTAAGTATCACCCTATGTTTGGGTCTTATACTTGAAACGCTAGTTATTCTATATTTAGCCTGCTACTCGCTCGGTACTTGTACTGACCCCTTCGGGGGGCCCCACCATTTTCAGGTTGAAGCTAGGGCTTGCTACTTGCACCTTCTCACGGGTGATATCATATCGGGAAGACGTGGTTCGTGCTTTCCTTATTTTCTTTCAAACTACCAAACACTTGCTCATGGATATTTGTTTTACTATAAACTATTTTTGGGGCTTGCATGCCCATGTTGTTGGCCGGTTGTGGCTCATGACTTACCGTTGAATATTTCCGCTATTCATTGGTTTAAATGTGATGTTGTTATGTATGTTTACTACTGAGCATGGATGGATTGTTTTCTCGAACGCCTTGTGTAACTAAGTGAGGTTGACTCGTGGGTGACATCACTTAGTTATACGGCGGTTGTACACGCGCTTGGATTGCGGTCTGGGGCGTGACAATTAAGTGGTATCAGAGCCATCTCAGTTCTAAACTATATGATCAACCTCTCACAAAAATTTTTACAAAAGAGTCTTTACCGAAAACCATGAGCATAGTATTTTGACGTTTATGGGACTATTGGTGCTTAAGTTGCAAGGCCTCTAATTGTTAAGACGGTACCCTTAACAATTGGTATGGTAGTGACTTGGGCCAATACGTGTCTGTAACGTTCTTCCGTCAATTGACATTTATTGGAGTCTAATGACTCATCCATATTTCTTTCAGAAATGGAGGGCAGGCGAATGGCAACCAGGAACAATCCGAGAGGGCGGGCGCCGGTAGCGTCCCAAAGGGGAAGCCGGGCTGCATCTCGGGGTTCAAGAGGAGGCCGTGGAGGCCGTGGAAGCCGTGGAGGTCATCAAGCTCAAACTGTGAGTGATGGCCATGTAAGCTCGGTGTATGAAACCAACACCGAGGACTATGACTCAACCTACGTTCCAGAAACGGAGCATGAGGAGACCCCGTATGATGGGGGGATACATACACCGATGATGACGATGAGAGTGATGCCCGGTTCGCCCAAATGGGTGAATTACTTGAGTGGTATCAAAAAGAGAAACTGAGGAGAGACCTTAGGCGCCAAGCGAGGCGTGGCTCTCGGGGAGGTTCGGGTCAAGGAAGCCGGGGAGCTTCCGTGGCCACCCCAGCGGCGTCACAAGGTGGGCGTGAAGGAGGTTTTGTTGTGAGAATCTCCAAGTACCTCAAGGAGGCTAGGGCCTTGGGGTGTAGGTCCTTTGACGGCACCGGTGACATTACCGTTGCCGCCGATTGGATTAAGAAGGTGAAGGATGCATCAAGGGACATGCAAATCACACCGGACGTGAAGTTGACTGTCGCTTCACGACTACTTGAAGGGATAGCTTCTACGTGGTGGGAGAG